GAGCCTCATACATAACTGTGTCCTGTGCTGTCCCAACACTAAAGGAGACATAAGCCCACTCCTCTCTGGGTCCACACTCTCCATCAATCTCCCTCAATGCTGGAGAATTTCACGCAATATACATATATATACATTCATAGATACTTAGTTCATGTCCCCTGTTATCTGTTGTTGGCTGTCAGAGTGCTTGCATGCAGGAGGGTACTCACGGGAAGCGTTTGAGGTGCTGATAGTAATGTGTGTGTTTAGTTTAAAAGGAGGGAGGGGCAGTTCTTTTAACTGTGTGTGAAGACAGAGTGATCATTAGTACATGTTTATTGAAGTTTACCAGCTCTGTAACAATGGGTTTCTCTTTGCCATTGGACTTAATTCCTCTGTAATTATGTACCTAATATAGAAATAATTTGGCATTTATTTGCCATAATAAAACTTCCTATTGCATTTAAATTCAATGTGAAGATTTAAGTGTATTTAGGAGACTCAACTGAAGACCTGAAATTAAATATTCCTGGTTTCCTTTTCCAAACAAGACAAACTCAGATAAATGCTAGCAGTCATATCCATGCGTGCAGCTACTCCCATGAGCCGTGGCACCTGTGTGTGCATACCCAGAGAGAGATGGTAGCCCTTGTGATGTGAACGATTCTTTCAGCTTCATCTCACTGCCGCGCTCTGCTTCCAGGGCACTGGTCCTGTGGGTGATGCTGATGACTGAAAACTACTTTGTACTCCTGAGCAGGGAAAACACACAGTTGAGGATAAACTGCAAGTGTTAAGATCACCATCAGCCATCCCAATTTGCTGCACAGGTTTTCAAAATGTTTGCTTTAATAATTGTGGTAGCAGGATGTTGCTAACGTGGCTCTTTCCTGCTGAGCTGGTGCTCAGGAGCAGCCCAGGCAGCAGACGTAGGTCAGCACAACTGGAGCTGGGAGAGCCCAGAAGACCATGTCCTGGCCCAATGACACCATCATCCCTAGCTCTGCCGTGTTCAAAGGAGACCTGGCGGGCAAATTTGCTATGCTTAATTTATAGTTGAAAGAACAGGCCTGGAAAACATATCCCATGACTGCCTACTGGTGGGTGAGCAGCTGCAGCTTTGGTAGCAGTGTGTGGATGGCCTCCCAGCACTGCTAAATGGCAGATAAAACAGCCGGGTGAAACACTGACACCAGCATGCAACAGGGGTGATGCTGCTCCTGACATTGTTATTTTCTCCCTAAATATACTGAGCATCAGAAGCACACACTGGCAATATTTTTTTTCCATCCTTTCTCAGAACTCCTCCCAGTAGGCTTAAAATAGCAGGGCCCAGATAATCATTACCCACTTTGACGTACTGCAATGGGCACAGATTGGTGGTTCATAAAGATAGGACAGAGCTGGAACAGACCCACGTTCCCAGTTCATCTCCAGCAGTATCATCTTCCTCAGGGTAAAGCCAGATCAGCCTGGCCTTGCCCTTCCTGCTCCTAGAGACGAGCTCTCATCACAGCCAGATATAGGGAAGAATATTATATATAATCGCTTAATATATTATTCTTTCCAGAAGTAGGGAAAAGTAATATATAGTGAAGAGTATTTCATCCATATGTTGAGAGGGTTATGGCTGAAGCTGGAGCACCCTTTCCTTTTTGTTAACTATGGTTTTCCACCTTTGACCTGAATCCTAATATAGTCTTGGATTACACCAAAAAAAAAGGCAGGTGCCCTATGTCCAAAGGCCACTTGGTTGTTTCAGGGGAACAAGATGGTACAAAGCAAGTTGAAGATGAAGCTTGCAGCCAGGGAGCATTTCTCCCCTAGCTGCTGACAAAGCAGAAATGCTTAGGCTGATAAAGAGTGATGGGATGTAACTCCATACAAGCAAATTGCAAAAATAAGTGTTGGGAGGTAGACCCTTTAAAGGGCCTTTAGAGAGCCGTCCCCAAAGGGAATTGGTGAGAACGTTGTTGTTTGAATGGGGAATATGTTGTACAGAGACATCTTCTACAAACCTATAGAATTCAGCTTGGGTATTTAATTTCTATCTTTAATTGCTGTGATCAGCACCTCATTTTGGGCTTTCTTTTGTGTGCGTGTAGCTTTTAACAAAAGTCTCTGCGCAGCAAATCCTTCATGTGTATCACAGCCAGTGGACTGTTCCTGAGCCTGCTGTACAGCTAGCTATGAGTGTCCTTCCCCTTTGCTGTACAAAGGATTTATTCCTTTAATATGCCCCTGGTGTTTATTTTTCTGCCGGTACAGGAGTGCATATGCGCGTGTGTGCATGTGGCACTGTTTTACGAATGCCTGCTGTGGACAGAATTGGGCTTCACAGTATGCAAAAATAGCTGTGCGCCACACGCAAGGATATAATATTTCACATGGCTGGAGAAAATGTGATAAATCAGGTTTTTGCTGGATTTGCAAAAATCAAGGAACTGGGGGATTCATCTCCACAGTTAAGCCATGAGCTCTTTCAGGAGCTGGCAGGACAGTCTGGGGTAGAGAGTCACAATTAGGGAAGGAGAACTGGGTCCCCACAGTGGTGTAGGATGTCTATGAACATCTCTTGGCTCTGAAGAGACAAGCTCACATTTCATAGACTCGTTTATTACAGAGCCCAAGAAGCCAACTTGAGTCCAGGCTGCAGCTACAGCTTTTCTCCTCTGCCTTTGCCTGGAGGTTGTTGCTCTTAGTTCCTGCTCTGTTCTGCCCCATTTCTGATCCCTCATCACCGGTGCCTCCAGCTGCTCGTTACACAAAACCCAGGTCCCTCACTTGCCATTTTGAGCCCTGCAGGACACCCTGGTGTGTAGAGAGGTGGAAAGGCTGGGATGCTGTAGAGTTGGGAGTTTTCTGCATTACCTGTTTGGTGCTGGGGTCACATTTGTGTGCTGAGGGGTGAAGCTGTTGAGAAAATAAAGCACCAGGGACTGAGATGAGGAGGGTAGAGCAGAGGCACAGAGCCTGGTCCTTGTACCAGGCTAGCTCGTGGTGTGGAAGAGGTTTAGCAAGCAGAGGAGTGGAGGAGCTGTGCTCAGCCCTGATCCCTCCCCTTTTGCATCCTCTCCGGCAGTACGTACTCATGCACGTTCCTTGTCACACTTGCACTTTCCCACCCCAGTCCCAGTGAGGGGCACAAACACGCACAGCCAAACCTGAGCTCCTCAGACTGCACCTCACACAGGGAGTTCTAATGCCAGATGTCAGTGCTCCTTCCCCTACACACCTTCCTCCCATTTAATCATTCCCTACTTCCCTTCTTCTGGCTTGTCCTGTCGCACTTTTCCAGGTGAAAAAGGTTCAGGAATCCTACAACCCTCCTTGTTCCCCCTCCCTTTGCATCCCCTCCAGTGTGCAGTGAAAACCAGTGACAGGCAGACCTGAGCCTGGTTTTGTAATGTAAACAGTTATTTAGAGTTTTGCTAAAATTTCATGGAAGATGACATTTTTAGGTCACCTAGCTGAACCAAATGAAAAGATTAACAAGCTTACATTAGGCTTCATAAAAAAAAGTACTACTCTTGCTCAGAGTGGTGCTCAGTTCCTCAGGTTCTGAGACCTGATGTGGTAACCCGAAAGCTAAGACAGTTTCCCATCAGGGTTAGCAAGAACAGGATCTAGTTTTCTAACCCAAGGCAGCTGGGATGGGTGTCTTTTATTGTGTCCAGCATCCTCAGGTGCCATGGTCTGTTATCCTGGTGCTCTGTCACTGTCAATAATGGGGCTGATCTAGGGGTGTAAGAGGAAATATCCTCTCCCCAACACTGAAAGTATGATGCCAGCCTTCCCCATCCCATAGATATTCTTATTCTGCTTTTAAAAGCTTTTAAGTCTTGGAGCACAGCTAAATACACTATTGGGGTCTATACCGTGGCTTTTAAACGCTAAGAGGTGGGGAGTAAAATATAATGGTTCTGTTCTTCCCTAAATAAGTGATGGCAAATGATTGTAAAACGAGCTCCTGGGCTTGTGCGTGCAGAGAGGAATTTAGTCTCATTGTGAACAGGATGATAGTAGACAGATCACAATAATATTGGGTTTTCCTGGATACCCTGTTTAAAGCTACACCAGAAACAAGGGAGCGAGCAAGGAGGTGCAGTGTTTCAGCCACCACTCATGAATGTCTGTGTGTCACAAGCCAGGACACAGCTTGCTCTCCATCATGCTTGCTTCTAGGATGGAAATAGCCAGCCCTACAAGCTATGCCTCGATACGACCCACTTTCAGGACAGACTGGGGGAAGTAGAGGCGGGGGTGTAATTTGAAGGCCTTTTCCCTGCTGGGCTGTGGGTGCACAAAGACCTGGGCCCAAAGCACACACCTGCCACCCATAGTCAGGTTTGTCCCTCCCAGTCCAGGAGCACTGGGAAGGAGAGTCCCGTGTCTGGCGCTGCAGACGCCCACTGCCTGGCAAGGCCTGGGAGGCACCACGTGGCGCTGGGCTCCGTCCAGCTCCTGGGGAGGAGCGGCACCTCCACGGCTGGCACCAGCTAGCCCGCGCAGAAAAGCCAAGGTCTGCCATGTCTGTGCTCCCCCTCCTGCCCGGCTGGGCTCGAGGAAGCCACCCGGGGCTGAGCGGGACACCAGCCTGCAGCAGAGGTCACAGCTGTCCCCACTGCCAACCTCACCTTCTAAAATGAGTAGCAGAGAGGCAGAAACCTGAGCTGTGAAACAGTGGCATCTGGTCATCTAGTGCTCATCTAGTTTTCCCTTCAGTGGTGATATTAGGCATCTCTTATCTACCCAGCTGTCTCTTTCCACCAAAAAAAAAAAAAAAAAAAAAAAAAAAGTAGGACCCAAGTATCTGAGACTGTTGCATCTCTGTTCACATCAGACAAGGATTATTAGAGGGAAAACAGATGGAGGCAGCATGATTACAAAAGCCAAACCAGGTAAAAATGAACAAAGAGCAAATGGGTGGATGATGGAGCTTCTGCCATGCCTTACCATCTTGTGCCATGCCTGTGGGAAGAGGGGAGGGGAACCTGGCTGACGCTGCTTCTCTTTTTCAGGGTGAGTTGCTGAGCCCGTGTCGATGCGACGGATCGGTGAAGTGCACACACCAGCCATGTCTGATCAAATGGATTAGTGAGAGAGGATGCTGGAGCTGTGAGCTGTGTTACTACAAGTATCACGTCATTGCCATAAGCACAAAGAACCCTCTGCAGGTAAAGGTACTAGAGACATTTCAAAGTCTATTCTCTTTTCTATTTTAGTTTCTGGGAGCAAGTGGATTTTACCCGTGTGGGTTTTCCTTCCCTGTGCACAGTAAATCATATGTCTGAGATGCTTAGAAAGGGCTGTCAGGGGCTGGTCCAAAGAGGCCCCCATGTTCTGCTCAGCGTTACTGGGAACATCCCTCAGGAGTCTGCTCTTTCTGTCCTTTGACAATTCCCACATTAACTTGGCCTCCTGTGAAAATGCCAGTGTGACCACAATAGTGCTGTAACACCTCACAGCCTTTCAAACATGTTCATATGAGACCGCAGGTATGGCGCTGTCCCCAGGGGCAGATGAGGGCAGAGCAGTTATGGGATTTGCTACACAGAGCACACAGTCTGTGGTAGAGCAGTATCTCGAGGCTTCACGTGTGCATAGCTGTGCCATTAACCCTAATCTCCTCCTGCTGAGCCTCCTCTGAGTTGGCATGAAGGATGGAGGCGGCAGATGGAGAGCTCTTACAGCTCTTCTATCTGATCCTGCCACCCTTTTCACTTCTCCCCCATGATCAAATACATCCTGGTGTGGCACACAGGGTGTTAGCTCTGATGCACTGGTCTCTCCAAGCCTGATCCTGTGGATATTTGCAGATGTGCACACTACAGATAAAGCATATCTTGACGTAAGTGGCTGTGAAAGGCATCAGAGGGCCCACCTTCTTTCTCTTCCAAGTTCAAAAGCACTGTGGTTTCATAAGCCCCACTACAGACTGGTAATTTAAAATCAAGATTCAGAATGGACAAAATTGTGACTGTTAACAATGGGATAAATTATCCTTAATAGCTATTGATTTATTGCGGGGGGCAACACCTGAAGATGGATTAATTGCTGCATGACTTTGCTGAGCACCATTAGTGCCTCGGACATAAGGAAGCACATTACATCCAGGCACTACTGCTTAATTAGCATCATCTGGACTGAAGAGACATTACAGCAGCATGCAGTGGTTTAGAGTCTGGGGCAATGTCTGTAATGCTGTTGATCTGTCCAGCACCCAGTGGAGGACTTCGGCTCTCTGCTGGTCGCTCTGCTCTCTGACAGGAGTCAAGGACTTTGCTAGTGATGGTGCCCAGTTGTACAGGGGTAGGGAGGAATGCAAACTCCTGCTCTCTCCTCCAAACTGCAGTTTCTGCCTGTCTTTTTCCAGGCCTGAGGTCACTAATCACAGTGAGGAAACAGGGACAGCCCTTTAGGACTCCTGGCTTAAATGAAGTAATGAAATTAGTGTAGCATCGTGGTAAAATTTTTGGGGGGGGAATAGAAAAAGACTGCCTGCTCTCTGCAAGTCCCTACAGCTTCTGATTCAATTTTCCATGTGCCATGGGCTAGAGAGATCAGTAGTTTCATCCCAAGCTCCAGACCCAGGGTGTTTTAATTTCTTGGCTCTCTTAACTCAGAACAGATTGACACACAGGAGGGGAGATGTGGACAAAGCAGCATTTGTTTATTTCTGGAAAGCTGGTCCATGAGTGCCCTAGCACTTCCTGTGTCTCAGATTGGGGATGCGATGTTGAGCAGCATCGGAGGTTTGTGGGTGCAGATTTGCAAGCATGTGTGTAGCCAGCACTGTCTTTAGTGAATGACCTTCAAATGCTCTACACCTTCATGTGGCTCAGGACAATGGGTCAGTGACTTTCCTCCTGCTCCTCACTTGGCTAAAATTTGTTGGAGCTAGTCACAGGCAAGCTCCCCTCCCACACACACATTTCAAAAGCCTGTACAAAGCATTGCTCTTTCTGGGCTTCCCTGTTAGAAAGCGGCCTGACCTGCTTCCCTTTGCCATGAACACAGAAACTGAGTGGCAGGAGCAACTGAGTTAGAGAGCTCAGCTCTGGGAGCGAGGGTCCCAGAGGACCGTGCAGACCCTGGGCTCCGAGGCTTCACATTGCTGGCTTAGACTTCACAGCACTTCTTGCAGAAGCACTGGGAGATTTGGAGGGTGGGAAGAAGCAACTGGAGTGAAAAGCCACTTGGTCTGAAATAAATGCAGCGTGTATGGAGTTACAGCTGCATGCCCAGGCGTCCTGTCTGGTGCCAGAACGAAGGCACTTCTGGGAAGCAGATGCTACACTAGCAGTAGTATATGAAATCCCAATCCCATGGGAAGTGGCTGATGCACGAGGCCTGGACTTCTCACAAGGACTTGAGCCCCTGTAACCCATCACCACTCATATTTTGTTCCTCAGTGGCTTTCACCATCCTCTGATGCTGGGAAAAGGAGGCAGAGAGGACCCAGGGGCTATGATGCCCTGACACTATGTGCCATAACAACGTATCACAGCATGCGCAGGTGGGAAGAGCATCCTTTCTGCTCGGTCTTCAACCCACATGTCAGTAACAGAGGCTACTTGGACATACAAGCAGGTCTTTAAGTAAAGCAATAGTCCATGGCCTTTCTTCTCAGGGTCTGCTGGAACTACTGCTCAGCTTTATTCTGACTAGAAAGCTCTGAATTTCTCAAGCACAGGTTTTGGAGGGCAAATTCTGTAGGAAGTCATGGTTGTCTGTTTATTTCAGACCAACCGTAATACAGACAAGGACCATACAAACCTCACCTCCTTGTCAAATGAAAACTATTTGGGTGATGCTTTAGGCCTGGCTAGATTTTAACCAGCAACATCGCCTACTTATCCCCTGTGTCGTCTCATGTGACAGTCCTCTCGAAAGCCAAAACCAGGCAGTCAGCAGGCCTGGGGCTCCTTGAAGCGTGTCCAGTTGGTCTGAGCAGAGCAGCACACCAGACACCCACATGTTCCCTGGGATCTGCATGTTTCTCTGCCCATTTTGACATCTGCTGCACATTTTTTGGAGTGCCTAGGAGCATGGCGTGGGACAGATGTGTGTGGAGACTTGTGGCGTGGGCAGAGAAGTTACAGCCGGGGGAACATGGTTCATGCATAATTAACACAGACTCCTTCCAGCCTCCAGGCTGTTATGATGTCTCATACCAGAGAGAGGCCTTTAGTCTGGTATTTTGGCAGAATGAATCTCTATAAATTAACCACCCCCCCATCCCTGGTTTGCAAGCGTTTAAGAGCAAAAGTCTTAAAGCAGCAACACTGCAAACCCGCTGAGACTGGGGGATTAAAGTTGTTGGACAACATGGCAGGTGTCCTGCCAAGCAGCAGTCAGGCAACAAATAAGCAAAAATATCCACCAGCTGTGAGCAACCAGAAGATCCAGAGCTTTTGTCTGTCCATCCATCCTTCCATCTGTCCACCCATTCTCCTGATCTCCAATCTGCCAGTCACCAAGACAGGAGTCATGGGCATGGAGGCTTTAAATGCTCCACTCCATTGCAATATTTGGGCAAAGCCCATGATTTTAAAAAGGTGCTGAAGACACAGGGGTTTAGAATCACATGATAGTACTGAAAGCACCCTGGTACTGATACACAGTGTAGTAGCTATCTGCTGTGATGGGACTTTGCAGTGTGTTTCATCTATACAGCTCCTTTGTAGCTGCTCCCAAGCCACATCCACTCTGATGCTCTGATTTTAGAAAACACAAAATCTGTTTGAACCAACCTTCCCATACCTACAACTGCAGTTTCAGGGAGTTCAACTCTGCTTTACAGTTGCTATCTCTGACTCTTCCTGTATTGTGGGTTGTTTCAGCTTCAAAGATCCTCAGTTATCCAGTGCCGGGGTTGGAATCCAGTTCTAGTTCACCTCTGGCTCTATTCTGACTGTGGTGATTCTTTGTTAAGATCTGATGAGTGTTTATATGGCCTCTTCATCAGGACCTCCACATCTGCAAAAGAAGTGGCCAAGGTCCCAGGGTGTTTGAACTTCAGCCTGAGCTCCTGAGCTAAAAAGCTTGAGGAAAGTTCACTGGTGTCTCCTGATTGTCCTGACTTGCTGAATCACTTGTGTTGAGTATGAGCTTTGGCTGGCCCCTGCTGAGCTCCAGCTGAAGCCTGCAGCCTGCAAGCAACGTGTGCAATCACAGCAAGAGTTTTTGTGGCCTGTGCCTTATAACAGGGGCTTTCTAGGATACCAGTACTGTAGCCTGAGTCTTACCAGATGCTCTGGCACATGGAGGAGAGAGAGTTTCATCACTGCACGTTTCCACTGCACGGCCCTAGTGGGTCCTCCTTCCTCCCGGCTGCCTTCTCAGTATCTGAATAATCCACAACATCTGCAGATGTACAGCAGTGTATCACAGTATCACAGCAGTGGCATAACTTCGCTTAATGAATTTGTAAAAAGAAAATCCATCCTCCAAAAGATAATTGACAGCAGTGAGAGGAGAGACAAACCTAAGCAATGCTGGGAATGGTCCACTCCAACCTTCTAGGAAAAACCTCCACTTGTGTGTGATCCTGGGTTTGAAAATTAAATTGCTGACTAGCATAGCTCAGGATGTTAATGATATGTACTAAGGGGACGTGTCAGATATAGCAATAAAAATAAAGTGAACTGCCTGAGGCAGGCATGGGGGAGCTCTCAGAGGAGTGTAGGAAGGCTTTTCCAGCAAGCAAGTCTTCTTTGCAAGCTGCTGCAGTAAGACATAGATATCTTCTGCAAGCAAATATCTGCTTTGGATCTGCTCATGCTGATGCTCGGGAACCTTTTGAGACTGCTGGTGCCAAAGAAAGGGAGATATGGATCAGGCCTTAAATACTATAGTAATGACATTATTAATCTGTGGTACATTAGCAGAGGGAGTTTTCACTCACAAACTTCTGAGCAGAAGCGCTGGAGCAAACAGGGAAATAGGTTTGTCCCAAGTACAACATGTCAATTGTGAAACAGTGCAAGTGAACAACAGTAACGTGACTGGCAGGCACTGGTCCCAGCTTGGCCCCTGGATAAGGTCATTGCAAATGTCAGACCTGGGCTCTAAGAAACCCTTTCTGAGGCATCTGGGTCACAGAGCTTTGAAATTTGGGGAAAATGGGGAAAATCAGTCCAAGAGAGGGTGGTGTTTTGCACACGCAGATCTGGGTGATGTGCCAAAGCACTCAGCCAAAGGGGATGGTTGCAGAGGACAGACAGACAGCTCTTGAGTGAATGAGGACATTTCTTCGGAATGGTCTGGAGGGACAGAGCCCTTTTTCTAGTGTGGGTGGCAAGCCATGCAGAGAGGTGCTTGGGCATGCTCTGAAGCCATTGTAAGCCCAGAGCTCACAAAGCTCCTTCTGTTATCCTGCAGGAGCCTTTAAAGCTTTCTGGTACCACCAAGTCCTTAGTTCTGCCCTGTTCAGCGCTAGCAGAGCATCTGTAGAGCTTTCTACCTGCCTAAAGGTCACATTCCTGATTGACAACCTGGGTGAGCTGCCGGTTGTTAAAGGTGCACTTCAGTACAGCTCCACAGCTACCTGGGACTCAACAGTCATTATCAACTGAGGAAAGAAGGGCTCGGTTTTAGGTCTCTCCCCACAAGGTGGGATTTCTTGACACTGTGACCTTGCTAGAGCTTGAAAGTTTGAGTTGCAGATTTAGAGGGAGGGGGCTGTGTCTGCAGCCAGGCATTCAGACAAAGAGCTTTGCGGGTTTCAAATGTGCTGGTAAAGGCACTCTGCAGCATTGCTGAGACCTTTCTTTGCAGCTCTAGCAGTGACCCAAGGACAGCACGGTCACCTACCAAATTATTGGTCTTCTGGCCATAATGATGGTAGAGAGGGGTTAGGAAAACGGGTTATTTTCTACGGGCTGTTATGAATTCTGAAAGGCCCAGTGCTGTGATTGAGGTGGGCTCCTGAGGCCACCAGTGCAGGAACACATCAGGCCCAGGTCCTGCAGCTAAAGTTCACCAGCACGTTCCACTTCTGAACAGCTCTTGGGCCCTTCTGTCTGTGCTCTCACTGAGAAACATGCTTTATCCCCTGTCTCACCCCTTTTCTTCTCTCTGTGTAAACCCCATATCCTAAGATGTGTAGCAAAATGGAATTAAAAGATGAAAAATAATGACTCCAGTTATTGTGGCTCAGGCTAGATGTGGGATGCTAAATTGCAGTTCTCAGGGTTGCCAGAGAGGAAATACAACACTTATTACTTACTTTTTTTTTTTTTTTTTCTTCTGGAAAATATTAAATTCTTCTGCAAGCTGGTTATTTTCCCCAGTGTTCAGCTCTGACCCATTTACCTCCTTGCTAGAGGGTAATCACACCCCAGTGCCACCTCCTGAACAGAGTCAGGACTGCTGCTGCGTGTGTCACTGTCACTTAGTGCCACATGCTGGGGGAGAGTCTCCTACCCCCTGGCACAGCTGACGGACTCCAGCCTCTTCATTATCGCCACAGTGAACTTCCCGGCAGCTGCTGCCGGCTGAGCTGCGTCAGGCAGCGTCCCTGCCTGTGTTTCAGCCTCTCTGTTCCCAACTGAAGGGAGCAGGGTTTGAAGTTTGCACTCAGGTGTAACTTCTCTGTGCTCTGAGCCCCATCCCCTTTGACATTATATTTAGTACTACACCCAAGCCTCCCTGTCTCTGCAAAGCAGTAGTTCTAGTTGTATGCGGCTGCTAGCAGTAGAAAACAGCTCCTTCTTTTTTCTGTATTTAATTGCTACCTTGGAAGGACCTGTTGCCACCACAGGCCTTGCAGTGTGCCAGACAGATGGTGAGGAGCCAGTCCATTACCTCCTCGAGAGAGAGAAATGATGCAGAATGATTTGGCTGGCAGAGGCGCACACGGGTCAGCGTGAGGGACCTGCAGTAAAACCTTCACACACAGCACCAGGCTCCCTGCACTCCCATCCCCTTGGCATTTGCCAGAGTTAGTGGAAGAGGAGATGAGGGCTGGTGAAAGCTGCAGGGGTGGAAATGCAAGCCCATGCATGTACCCAAACCCCCTCCCCGTCACATGCCTCCAGTCCTGGAGCTCTGAGCTGATGGCACCAGTTGCAGATTTGTCCAGCATCCACTTATGGCACTGTTGAGAAGTAAGCTGAAGAGCTGATGGGAAGACAGCATATCTGTTGATTGCGCCCTCAGAACCCAAATTTGGAGGCAATGAGTGCTGGGTGGCCTTTGCTCTGTCATGTGTCAAGAGAGGAGTTGCACAACTGAGCATCTCCTGTGGACTCCCACACCCCTGGAGCTACTCTTGACCCATTGCAGCTGGCACCACCAAGCTTCCAAAACTAGGAGAAGGGCTGTTCACTATCTCAACTTCTTCATGACACACACGGGGCACTTGTGTAGCTAGATTTGGTGGAGGTGTGGAGCAGGCTGGGCTATGGCAGGGTGGGGAACGGGCTCACTGACTGTCCTCAGTGCTTGGTGTTTGCCTTTGGCTGGGCCAGTGGCTGGAGAGGATGGCAGGAAGGGGACTGGGGTTAGCTGAGCCCACTCTTGCTTCAGCAGGGAACAAGCTGTCTCTCTGCTCAGCACCTTTATGGCCATCTACTCTAATGAAATAAGCTGGCACCACCCACCTCACTGACACTGTGCATCCCTGACATACGATTTGAGGACTGTCTGACCGTTCAGGATGTAAGCCGAGGAGCAAGTCTGGCAGAGGCAAACACTTCAGCTCACCACTGAGCCAAGCCAGGCAATCTCCTTCCAGTTGCAACCCACAGGCCTCAGCCTCAGGCTGAAGCTCTCATTTGTTCCTCTCCAAAGGCAGCCCTTAGCAGGGGAGTGCATTTGCTTCATGGATTTGGTCATTGGATTGGTAGAAATGCCACACAGCCATATACCAGCACAAGACACCTGTTGTCCGTCTTGCCCTTTGATCAGGATTCAAAGTCCTCTCTACCTCCCCCAAAAGACTGCTAACTCCTGGCTGGCCTGGGGATTAAAGAGGGACCCAACAACTGAACTCCTTTCTTGTCCTGCAAAAGGACGGTACAAGGCTTGATGAGCGACCCTGCTGTCCTAGGATATGTTTGACAAACACACAGGGTGCTGAGGGCTTACCAGAGATGCCACTTCCCAGGAACACTGAATTTGGGCTGAATTCAGACTAAAGATTTTCAGTTCCTCTGAATCCTCTATACCTGCAGGAGGTTGAAGTCCACCTTTATTTATCCTTTTGCCAGTCCCACTGAGATTTCAAGGTCATGTATCTCACAGCTAAAGGTGGCCTATATACTTTGATGCCAGGAGAGACTGTCTGTCCCCAGCCTGTTTACACATTTGATTTCTGATTTGCAGGAGGGGCTACGAATCATGTCCCAAGGCTTGTTAAAGAAAGCAATTTCTGTTCTTGGTTTTTACGGGGCTGTTCTCTCAGCAGTGTAAATCTGAGTGGGGGGGGTTTATGCTGGATGACAGGAAGGAGTCCAGGCTTAGGATATTTATACTATAGCTTATACAAAGCTATTTGACATAGTGAATGGATTTGGGGGAGTTATATCTATTTTTTTCTTCTTCTGAGGAAGAAGCATTGACGTTTACCTTGGAACACAGCCTGAATGTGTCATCACCTAAAGGCAGGGTGTCCTGACCACAACAACTTGTGTTGTTTGTAACAAGTTTTGTGGGATGTGCATTGCTGCTGTGAGATCCTACCTAGTGCTATGATCTTGTCAGATCTCACAAAGTGGCGCAGAGCCAGCTCATAGGAGGCCTTTGAAGGAAAGCTTGGCTCTCTGAGACATTTCTTCTCATGGTAATAGGATGCCCTGGCCAAGGATGCTGCCTGACCTCTATTTGAGGTAGCAACTGAATGTCCTGGTTTGTGATGGTCATCATAGACCTACTGTCCTGGGGATGTTAGTTTTGGTGTCTTGCCCCCAGTCAATCCTGCCTCCCTTGGGTTTCTGTGCTTTCCTGGTGACATGCAGGATTCCTCCCCATTGCCTCTACAACAGTGCTGTCAGAAAATATGGGGCCATGCACTGCTGAACAACCACCATGCTCCACCCCCAGATGGGGACCAGATAAAAATGGATATGCTCATAGGTGCTCTTTGAGATCTCCAAAACTGCCACAATGATGTAAAACAGCAGTGTGCCCCAAGTAACTAATCTCTTCTCTTTTTCCTTCCTCCTTCCCCCTTGTACCCTCTCCTCTCCCCATTGCCTCCCCTTGCAGTGGCAGGCCATCTCTCTGACAGTCATTGAGAAGGTTCAGATAGCAGCGGCCATCCTGGGTTCCCTCTTCCTCATCGCCAGTATCTCGTGGCTCATCTGGTCGACCTTCAGTCCTTCAGCCAAATGGCAGCGCCAGGACCTGCTCTTCCAGATCTGCTATGGAATGTATGGCTTCATGGACATTGTCTGTATAGGTGGGTGATCATATCTCACAGCACGGCCGAGGTTGCCCACCCACTTACCCACAGAAAGGAGTGGGAGGTGGCATGGAGAGCTGACTGGTACAGCTCGGCTCGGATTGAGCCTCCTTGGCTTTTCCTCCTGTTTGATTTCATGGCACCTTTTTTACAGTCATCTGGGCAGCCCTAGGGTGTCTCCTTGGCTGGGCTGGCAGAGGAACCTGCAGCAACCCCAGAGAGAAACAAATTTCTCTTCAGAGCAAGAAGAGGAGTGTAAGCCTGGGGAGTGTAAGGCTTTTGAGAAACTCCTTCCTTTCTGGAACAGCTCATTTAGGGACTGCCCCATGGTTGGGTACATCAGGATCTCTCCATATGTAACTCCTTGTCTCTCCAGCCTAGTCTCTCTGCCAGGCAGGGGTGGTTGACCCTTCTCTGGCCCACCCTGGAGCTGCAGGTCCCAACCAGCCCAGGTCATGGCCTGGCCTGGGGTCCTTATCAGAATGCTGGTACAGAGCAGCTCTGAGGACGAAGCTGTCCCACACTGAGCAAGCCCAGACAGCAAAGCAGATTCTGGAAGCCTGACTGCAGAAGGGACTCCCTGAGAGCTTGAGCTGTAGTCCCAGTGCAGGTCTGCAGGATGGGGGGACGTAGCTGGCAATACCTACGGGCAGAGGCACTCACCAGCCAGGCTGCTGAAAGAGCAGTGGTTACCGAAACAGTCCAGTGAACACCAGCCAGTTCCAAACGCACTCCTGAGCAGTGTCCACCCAAGCACAGACCACCATATAACATCAGTTCAAGTGATACTGCCAGGAAACAATGAGGGTTCAAGAGAGCTCTTCACATCTGGGTCCTTCCCTCATTCCTATAAAGGCGGAAGGAGCCTCCCAGAAACTCGGTGGGACAAGGCAGTCCTCTTGGCTTGGTGGGTATGTATTTGTGTGGGTAGAGTGTCTCCAGAGGGAAGGAGCACAGCTCCCAGTTCAGCCCTCAGGAGGAGCAGGACAGACTATATCACAGAGTAGCAGTCTGTGAAATTGGGATACAAAAGTAAAACCCAGCAGCAGGGACAGAGGTCTGGGCCTGGTACCCAGGTATCACCTTGGTATCCAGGTTCAAATGGCTCTTGGCTTCAGCATCCTTCCAGCACAGGACTTGGGCCTGACAAAACCCAGGCCAATTCCTCTCATTGTTGCCACCACTGTGCTGACAATTAACTGTGAGCTTGGCCTGTAGACATCATCCTGCTCCTTCATGAGATGCTGATGGAACTCCAACATCTCTTCAGGAGCAAAGGGTGGCAAAGGGTGTGAAAAAGAATTGGAAAAGCACCCACATGTTGGTACAATAGCCACTGGTGACATCTTCTTGCTGGTAGAGTTGAGAGTGGAAAAAAATCATCCCTATGTGTGTTTGTGTCACCTCGTTGTCAGAGAACAGAAGTGGAGAGCCCTGGCCTGGGCAGACGTCAGTAACATGATTAACTGGCTTTGATAAAGCTTCAAGAGCTGAGGAGAACTGATTAGCTCATCTGTCAATAGGGAGCTAAATCCTCCCACACAGTGGAGAACAAACCACAGCAGCCATAATCTAAAGAGGAACTGGGCATACAGATTCAGATTCGAGGTTCTTTGTTTATTTCTTATTAATTTTTTTAAAGCTCTATTCCTCTTTTCCACCTTCTCTGAGGGGAAAAAAAGGCCCTTTGCATCTCCACTGATGTCACCATTAAGCTTAATGTCCTAAGGTAGGAACTTTGATTTTTTCCAGCCAAACAGCAAGCAGCTATCCCATTCCCAGGAACATTTCAGAGTCATGGTTTGGGGCAGCCCCTTGTCTCACAGTCCTCCCTGCACAGCTGGCAGTTCTGGTGGGTCAGGCATGCTGGCTTTCCCACAAATTCAAAATCAAGTGTGAAGCATTACAGATGCAGTGAGTTAACATGTCTGTATGTGGCTTCTCTTGCCCGGCACCTCAGAGACTACCCAGAGATGGCTCTACTTGTTCTGTCTGCAGAATGTCAGCCTGTGCTGCCAGGCAGCCCACCCTTGCTCAACCAGGAGAGATGATGTTCTGTACCATGTGAGCTTTTGTATACATTGCCCTAGGAAAGCTCATATGTGCATGCAGCCAGCCCTCTGCCCCTGCCACGCTCTAGTGCAAAACTTGCTTGTATTGTGCATCAGTACCCTTTGAAATTTGCTGCTGCTGCTCCTGGGTCTGCAGTGGAGGGGAAGGGAACTGAGCAGTGCTAGCTGAGATCTGGTGTTCACTCTCCTCCCCTCCTCCTCCTCTTCTTTCTCTGCCCATGTTGAACCCAGTGATAAATGAAGTCTTCATGGGGAGCTGTGACTCCCTGGCTGTCGATGTGGTCAGGTCTCTCTGAGTGACTTCTCTCCAGCCCTGCTGATTTCAGGAGGCTGCACTAGCACTAGCCAAAAGGCTGATCTGTCCCATGGAGAGGCCAGGCCAGCTCAGGCCAGCAGAAAGGGCTAATCAAAATGAACTCCCTAACTGAATTTAATTCCTCATTCATTATAGCTTTGCTTGACTGTGATGGATGCAGCGATGCCAGCTCCCTAGAAGACTCACAATGAGTTCCTCACTGTGGAACAGCTATTCTCCCTCTATCCTTCTCCCAAACCTTGCAGCCTTGCACAGGGTCTTTGATCACAGCCAGACAAAGCTGGCTCTGGAGATTCAGAAGTCTGCTCCTGACTGCCAACATGGCCTAAAGCCTCTTGTTACTCCTCTCTGGGCTTTAGTTTCATTTCTGCAAGTTCAGGATAAAACCTCTCATGGATAATTGCAGTGACAAAAGTTCTTGAAATACCAGGGTGCTGTCTCTGCATTTCAGTGTCTCCTCCTCTGCAGTCCAGCCCCTTTCCCCTTTTGCTTTATAGCCTGTGAGTGGGTAGGAAAGATTTAGGAACTAAAAAATGCTTGACGATGGTGAAAGAGCAGGACATTAAGTGCATTCGGTTCTACCACACCTGTTTTCTTCAGCTAATGTAACTCACACATTGTCTGGGCATTGTTTGGTAACAGGCTTGTCAGCCTTAGCTAGCAGAATGTTATATTCTAGGTCCTACACTAATTGTATGAATTCCAATTGTTCGTTCCCCCAGTTTGACCCCAAGTTTTGCTTTCACTGGAGAGGAGCAGAGGTTTGAAAGACAAGGTATTTACTAAAGAGCAGATGTACTGAAGCCAGTTCCCACTTCAGTTGTCCTTGGATGTCTCACATCCATTGAGTAGCCAGTGACATTTGTCCAGGAGGCCAGTTTACACACCCTGTCACTGGAAGTGATCAGCAGGACACTTCCTCTGGCACTGTAGAGTCTCAAAGCTGGAGAAGATGCCACATCTGCAGAGATCCTGATTATTGTCAGATGTGAAATACCCACCTAGTCAGCAACTGCCCAGCTGTTTTGTGTGATCTCCTCCCTACCAAGTCATTAAGGGATTTAGGTAGAAATTTGCTAAGACAGAGATATCTGTGGGAATTTGCATGGGTAATCCCGTGGCAGCAGTGGTCCTTCCAATGTGGAGTCAAAGGTGTGGGCACAAGTGCTCACTTGCATGTATAGCTCCCTAAGCACAGATCATTTAGCTGTTGGTTATCTCCACCTGAGCTGTACTTGATCTGAAATAGTCAGATCATCTCCAAGCTGAGCTCTCAAAATACAGCTGTTAACTCGGAGACTATTGATCCATGCATCAAAATCCGGGGGTCTCGGGTTTGACCCTTAGCCACTGACATTCAGGAATACACTAGTTTTCTTTGGACTTTGCTAGATCCTAGCATGCTCCACAAAAACAGTTGTAAGGGACAGACACTGTTTTCTACCCTTTCACCCACGATGGAAACGAAATCACAACCAAAGTAAAATGAATCTGCTTCTCATGACCAGCAGGACAGATGGTATGGCCCCAAGTACCAGAAGCTATGTCCATCTGGGCAAAGTGTGCAAGATGGATTTTCAACATTGTTCTTCCCCTTGCTCTCAGACATCTAACAGGAGGGTAGGAAGCACTGGAAAGGATTGCTTGGGATTTGTGGGAGTCTCCAATACTGGATTTTTTTTAAGAACCTGTTAGAAAACATATGTCAGGAACAGGTTGTGGAGAGATGATCCCAGATTGTGAAAGAGGAACAGACTAAATGCTTCTTGATATCCAGCCAGCCCCAACGTCTTTGATTCTGATCTCTTTTTCTTTCATGTGTGTTATCTCTGGTCATGTCTGTAGGATAGATATGAGAGTTGGATTAAACTAGAAACTTGTAATGGTGCCAGCATAGGTATCACTCTGCTATGAAGCCATCTACAACACAGACATTTGAGATCAGCAACCAGGCAGTGAATGAAAAGTGAGGTGAGGCCTGCTCATTTGATTAACTGCTCTCTCCATGGCTCCATCAGAGTTAAATTCAGAAAGGAGGTGTAGAGAGGGATTAGCAGAAATGTAGTTATCGAAATGCTGAGATAAATGGAATGAGCCTTCATAGGCCTGAGTTACTGAGTAGAGAGAGTAGCAGCTTAGAGCTGGGCTGTAAATCCTGAGAGATACCTGCCTGTTAATTAAATGACAGTCCTTGGAGGAAGAAGGAGGGGTTTGCCTCTCTCTCTGTCAAGGTGCAATTAGGGAAAGTCAGCTTTTGTAGATTAAGGTATCATTTGGGGTCAGGAGGACAGGAAACCATTTCCTGTTAAACAATGAGGAGCTCTGCCAGCTAATGAGAGCATGTCAGTCCAGGCTCCGACATCACCCGATCGGCTCCAAGGGGGAAGCATGTCTAGGAAGGCCATTATCAGCCAGTATGCACAGGGCTGCCACTGTTACGGTTTGCATGTGCGGTCCTGCTAGTGCTAACACAGGAGTATCCCTGTAGTGTGGCAGCAATGAAAAAGCAATCTGATCTGCCTCTCCTTGGATCACTCTCTAGTGGGGACTGTTGCTTTGTCCATGCCCACCCAGTCCTTGCTCCCTGACTCACCCTGCCTCCGTGCTGA